CAAAGATATTTTCTTTTATTGCGCGCGCGCGCGGACATTTAAGCCTTTGGGGTTGAATTTTTTTAGCGCATATTTGTTTCAAGAGTGTCAGGAAAAATTTTCAAGTGCAATTAATGAAGTTAACATTGATTTACTGTCAAAAAAGTCGTATTTTTTCTCAAAAAGCGCGCGCGCGCGCGCACTTTTGCTCAGATTCCTTCAAAACCAAAAAATGCACATAATATACATAATTCTGAGTTTGCATGCAAAAAATCAGCCTCCTACGACAATTCTAAGTTATGTTTAACCACTGTTTAAATTTTCCGGAGAGTAATACGTTTTGTGCCCCCCCCCCTTATACATCCCGAAAAATGTAAACCTCTATTTAAGAATTTACATGCTCAAATTGCAACTCTAACGTTTGAACCTTTGTCTATCAGAAAATTACCAATTTTTATTTTGCAGTTTCTCTTTAACGATAATAAACGGTCAATCATCATGCCGTTGAAACGAAAGCCCTCTCCTTTCAAAAATAACCGCCCTAAGAAAATTAATATATTAAAAGAACTTATTGAAAGGTGAGAATTCGAGAAAGGAAATAGATACAATGTTTCTCTTTCAGGTGTAGAAAAAAAAACTATTACATTCTTATCATAGTTTCTGAGATAAATACTTTAAGGATACCGTGTTTACTCTGAACACGTTGACAATCTTTTTAAATACTCACCACAATTTTGTTGATGATCTCCTGCTTGTTATTGTCTACCCTGTTGGATACCAAGTTAACCACCTCAACCTCGACCAAGCTCATCACCTCAACCTTAAACTCCGCTGTGAACCGAGACCTTTCTTCCTGGCGGAGTTTCGAGGCAGATACATTACTTGAACCAGCTGTGTTGGAGGCAGAAACAGAACCATTGATGTTTCCACCTAGAGTCGCACCACCGGTGTTCTTTATTTTGTTTTGAATTTCAACGACGCTCTCGGATCTAAATATAAATATTTTTAGGATGAACCAACTTTAGTTAAGCTTAATTGTTAATTATCGCTTTTAAAAAATTGTTTTAGCAATAAATTAGATTTAAAGTCTTTAAATATTCTTAATCTTAACTCCTTCGCCCATAAATACATTGAAAGATTGTCTGAAAATAAGTTTGTACTGTAAATACAATTCTGGAAAATCTGCGAGTGGATTTACAAAAATCCGCCAAATAGTTGCACTTCTACATTTTTCGACCCAGAATGAGCCTATATGAAATACTGAAGGAGGAGCCAGAAATAGTTGCTATTATTGGTGTGACTCTACTTTTTTTCTTTACAGGTACAGGTTGTTTTAATAAAATTCATTTAAAAGTTTCGTCAATCTAAAAGTGCTCAGCTGTTTGGGCCCAGCAGTTATATATTCAAAAATCATCCCCCCCCCCCCCCTATGATTTTCGATGCTCTGAGGGAAGAAAAATAAAAAATTACATATTAAAAAAGCAAGTTTTTAACCCTTATTTGATACTTCTTATACATACTTTACATCTGGAGGAAAATTATGATTTTTAAGAAGAGATTTTTTTCTTAAAAATACATTTTAGCATATTCTGTAACTTGCTACCATCTTGGATTTTACTACGGATTCTATGATGGGTCTCCACAAGAAGAAACTAAATCCTCTTAAAATTTCAGGTTAAAACAAACACTTTACACAACTTTTTTCACTGTTTTTAACAATGATTTTGGCTTGTTTAGAAAGACCGAGGTTTGCTGGAAAAGAAAAATGTTTACGAAATATTTGAAAAATTATTCATTTTCACAGTAATAAAAGTACATAAATAACACTTTGATTTTAAATTTTAAAGTATTTTACTTGTCAATAAACCCTAATTATTCTCAACCTTTACTGCTTGTCCAAATTAAAAATATTCATTAAATGAACTAATTAGAACAATCTCAGTCAGCTCAGCGTTCGAAAATCTTAAAATTTAAAATTTTGAATGTTCTTAAAGCAGTAATGCACGAAAACTTTATATTAAACTCTAACTTTGTCATCAACACTTTCTTCCCTAATCCCACCTGTCCTCAAACCTATTTGTCCCTAATTCTATCGGTCGAGTCCTCAGACCTAATTATCCTTAGTCTTATCTGCCCTCCAACCATTTTGTACCTAATACTTTCTGTCCTTAATTCTAATTGACTCTATTCCTGTCTGTCCTCAAACTTATTTACATAATCCCATCTGTCCTTAAACCTAGATGACACAAAACCTATCTGTAAATAAACATAATTTTCCCTGATCATATTTGTCCTTAGTCCTATTAGTCCTCGACACTTATTTTACTTCATCCTATCTATTTTCAAACATATTTGTACCTGATCCCAACTGTCCTAAAACCTAATTGTCTTTATTTCTATCTATCCTCAACCTAGTTCTAACTGTTCTCAAACATAAATGACCCAAATCTTATCTTTTCTCTGACCTAATTGTCCCCACCTGTCCTCAAACATAATTGTCCCTATCTATCCTCAAACCTAATTGTCCCTGACTGTCCTAAAACCTAAATGTTCCTATCTGTCCTCACACTTAATGTCCTTATCTGTCCTCAAACCTAATTGTCCCTATCTCTCCTCAAACCTAATTGTCCTTATCTGTCCTCAAACCTAATTGTCTCAATCTGTCCTCAAACCTAATTGTCCCCATCTGTCCTCAACCCTTATATACCTAATTCTTTCTGTCCTTAAACCTCATTTTACTTTAAAAGCCTTTCTGTCCTCAAACATAATTATACCTAAACCCACCTCTTCTCAGTATTTTCTGTCCTTAATCCTTTCTGTCCCCAACATTTATCCTCCTCAAATATGTGTCTTGAATCCTACCTTTCCTCGAAATTTTTCCATATTTCCGCCAATCTGTTGTTAAACTCCTCTCTGCGCTTCAGCATGGCAGGTTGCTCTGGTTTGAACTTCTGTATCTGTCCTGTTAATGTTGCCAACCTTTCCTAAATAAATACAATTTTCTCATCTTCTATGTTAATATTAGAACCAGGCACAATAGAGTACAGGAACATAGTTTATAGAAGGCTACAATATGCCATATATTAATGCCGCTGGGTGTATTGTGTACAACAATCTTAACTATACAATGGAGAATCTAAGATATATGTCTGAAAAAAAAAATGAAGTTTTTTTTATTTGTATCAAAGCTTATTGTATAGTAGCTTTAAGCGTTGCAAAGGGGGTCATAGTTAGTCCCACTGATTAAGCATTGTCGTAAATATGATTTTAACTATTTTTCCCGATGAAAGTCGATCCACTCAACTAAGAATTTCAAAACTCAAAAAAATGTATTTTTTAAATACATTATTATATTATATAACATTCCCATGGGTCTCTGAGTTTCCCAATCAAAATTTGGGGCAAATTGGTCGAGGGGTTCCTGAGTTATGATCGGATATAAAAACAAACAAACAAACAGAGATTTCATCTTCTTTATGTATTAAAGGTGAAAGATTTATTCTAAGAAACATTTACAAACAGCATTTTCTTTAAATCAAAATTGACCATCGAAAATGGCCCATTGTGATAAAAAAAACGCCAGTAAGTGTTTTCTTCTTCTCAAAATATATCGATGTCGGCATAAAAAGATTCGTCTTTCCAAGCCATATTCAATGGAATAAACCGTTCTCCAAAATAATGAAAAATAGCCCAGTTGGAGCTGAAAAATTACAGAAAATAGCTGATTTTATGATTTCCCTAATTTTTTCAACTTTAATGCTTCTATATGTTTTTGAATATTCTTTCAAACCTTTTGTTGCGTTGTTGCTTTGATACCCATTTCGACATACTTTGAAAAATTAAAAAATTACTTGCATAACCGGTTTTTCGGCCACAAATAACCATTTTCGATGGTCAGTTTTGATTTAATAGAAAAATGCTTTTTGTAAGTGATGCTTTAATTTAAAAAAAGTAGTATTTACTACTTGATTTGTGTTTCATGAAAAACTGTTTCCCTAAATATGTATATATAAAGTTCAAATCTCTGTTTATCTGTTTGTTTGTCCGATCCGAACTTAGGAACCCCTGGACTGATTTGCCTCAAATTTTGATTGGGGAACTCGGAAGGCCCACGGGAATGTTCTTAGCTTGGATTTATGATTCCAATTTAAGCGGGTCCACTTTAATAGCGAAAATTTAGTTTCCCGGTAAAATCATTCAAGTGCGGGTAAACGGCGGGAGTAACTTTTAGTAACCTTGGCAGCGCTTGGTTCCCATGCTAGTACCTTATAGTTCTTGTATGCTTTGCTCTCTCTGTCACTAGCGTAAAGGTGCATCTCCTGTTCAGATTTCAATATCATTATTAAGCACAATGGACACAAATGAGACAAATGCTAGTAATGATCCTAATTCACATAACACCGGGAAGGTTTGTGGCTGGTCGAAGTTGTAAACTTTGAAAACGATAAAAAAATTCCAAACTAAAGTTGTTGGTAGCCTAGTTATAATAATATTTCCCTGCTCTAAATCGAGTAATCCTTTATTGATATCTTTACCAGCTCTCTCCTCTTCATCTGATTTAAGCTGCAGGTTCTCCTCGATATTGTTCAGCTTAGCAAGCTTAGTTGAAAAGAAATCTTTTTTATCCTCAAAAATCTGTAAATCCAGCTCAATACTCCCTCTCAACTGACTAGTAGAACATCATGTCAATACTGTAAAATTTATTCATAAAGAAAACAAATTCAACCTTCTATATACTTTGCACGTCTGTCTGTTCGTTCGTCTGCTTGTATTCCAATTTTCAAAAGTTAGCCTCTAATAAAATTCGATCTTTGAAAATTTTGAAAATCCACATTTTTTTATTTCTACAAATAGAACATGCTCACAATTGAAATAGAAGATGGGCTCGAAGCGCACTAAAACCCTAGTTTTACAGTTTCTTGATAAGTAGACTAAATAAAACTCAAAAAAAAACATTTAAACCCCAAAAGACATGAAATGAACTTCATATTAAACGGCCTTGAATCAAAGTATTTTTTTAATTTCCTGTTTTATTGATATAAATTTATTTTCTATAAACAATGTATAGGTAACCGTCATAGCTATTGACTTGGCTTATATTTTGAACTTGTTTTTATCATTAAATGTTTGTCTGACATAAAAACTCTTGATATATTATCCTAAAACCGGGGGTGTATTTTTAACAACAGGGTAATTCAATTATTTTGAATCTACAAAATTAACCCCATCCCCCTGATTTAAAAATTTATTAAAAAAATAAAATTATTTGACACCTAACCTGATCTCCTGTTTACAGAGGTTGAATGAATCCTCCGCTGGGTTTGCTAGATGGTTATCCACCATCTCCCTGCACATATTGAATAAGAGCTCAATGTCCCTCTGTCTATCTAACAAAATCTCCTGGTCTGTATTTGCTCTCCAGTTACTCCAACCTTCAGCAAACTGATCGACACAAACACTGAAAAAGTTTCTATTTTTAAGTCCATCATTATTGTTTGCATCCAATTAAATAGGGGTTGACGAGGGGAGGAAGGCCAGTCACAACAATTTCTCGTCCGATCCACATTCTCCACATTTTATCGTCCGAGCCACCTCAAAATTTTCGTCCTTCTGATAGAGATTCTTATGTATAACATCGTTTACGGCTCAATCTTCGTTAATTGACAAGTTCAAAATTTGTTTGGGAAAATTTAATATCTTATTTTTGCCCTACCGTACTAAGATTTTCAAAAAATATTTTTGAACTGCAAGGGTTGGACATTAAAAAAAGAAATTCTTGGACAGAACAGAATTTTGAGGTAGCTCGGATGAAAAACTGACGAGAATGTGGCTCGGACTAGATATTGTTCGGACGACGCTCCTCGCCACCGAAGTTTACCCGTAAGCAAATCGGACTGCTTTGTCCTAGTAAAAAGATTCGTCTACAGGTTCTAGCCATAGGAAGAAACGAAAGACGTGAGAGGGCGGGGGAGGGGGGGGAGGGGGAGTTACATTATTTAATTATTAAAACAATATAATCAAAGCTCCGAATTAATGGAAAAATCTGCTAGGATACACGATTTAGTTTGAAAAACTATAGGATAGTAAAAGAACCCGCAACAAGTAAAACATTTTGTAATATCTCTGTAAATATTAATAGCAGCCGACGCTATTCTTAAATGTAGACTCATACAATTGCCAAGGAGCAGAATATGAGTTAGATTGTCGATATCTCTTTCCGGAGACTCCGATTTTTTATCTCCGGCCTCGTTGGACATAAATAGCCCATTTTTTATATAACCTGACAGCCGTTTTTTGGTCCTGATAACCCTACTGTGAACGCGATGGTCCTGACAGCCGGTCCTGATAGCCGGAGAGGTCCTGGTAACCCTACGCTGAATGCGAAAATGTCCTGATAGCCCGTGGGCAAATAAGAGCACCCAAGCCAAATTTATACATAGATAATCCCGATGACCCCTAGAATACACAAAAAAAGATTTCCTCGAGTTTTTTAAGTCAAAAGGCATTTGGTTTGTTAATACTAAGTCTATTGGGCACGCCATGCAGTAATTCTGTGCAGAAAATTTAGTTGTAAATAACCCTTGGACAATCTATGTATCATAAAATCATTTTTTATTGAAGAAAAATTCTCTTTATACAATAAAATGTTATTTATTGGATTTTTGGATTTCTTATGATTTGTGTTTTTAATTTTAATATTTACACTGAAATGTTCCTGTTTGACATAAGAAGAAGGAATCATAACTCAAGGAGTATGTTATTTTGTTACCGCTTAGCACTGCTTTCTTCAGCATCATGATTCCGCCGTTTCCTTGGAATAATTGGTTCATAATTAGTATTTCCCACCAGACCAAGCTTTTCCTAAAAGTAAATAAAAAATGATATTTTATCTTAATAAAACATTTTTTTCATATAAATAAGTTTGAAAAAATGAGGTAATTTTTTTTGAATTATACCCTCTTTTTGATGATAAAAAATAATATATATTACTAGGCTATCTTCTATTTCAATTGAACATTTTCTCTTTGAATAATTGTAAAACAATAGTAAAAGAGTTTGCGGATTTAAAAAAAAAAATTTATTCGATTTTCTAAATTTCATGAAAATCAAATTTTGTTTGAGGCTGATTTTTACAATTCTAAGCATCCATAAACTTTCCCTGGGGTCATTTCAAGGACACACACAAAATTTGGTCCAGATCGGTTCAGTGTTTAGCCGTTTTGACGTTTATTGGATATAAACAAAAACAAACAAACAGAAAGACTAGCTAAGTGTATACTGTATACTGTATATATACTAGGCTTTTTTTTCAATTGTGAACATGTTCTCTTTGTATACATTGTAAAACAAAAACAAACCAAAAATTTCGCGGATTTTCAAAATTGTCAAAAATTGAACTTTGCTAGAAGCCATTTTTTTTAAATTAGATCATCCATAAACATTCTCTGGGGGTTACGCGAGGTTCCACAAAAAAATTTGGGTCTGAAATGTTGAGCCGTTTTGACGTTTATTTGATACAAACGGACAGACGGACAAACAGACGAACAAAGTATACACATAGATAGATAGATAGATAGTTAGATAAACCCCTGTTTGAACCATAAATAATAACCTTGTTTTCTGACCAAGTAGCTGGACGGTTTTTTAGCTTCAGATATTCATCGTAGTCTACTATCACTTTAATCGCCTGATAATCTCTAAATATAATTGATTTGATCAGTGCTGAAAACTTTAGAATTGTGGATATTGAGATTAATGCTTTATAAAACCTCCAGAGCTGAAAACTTTAGAATGGGATATCCTTAATCCCATTCTGTTAATTAATCTAGAGATTAATAACAATAGGAGAGCAAGCATTATTTAATCTGGAGATTAAGAAAAAGAGTATATCAAGCATTAATCCCGATATCAACCATTTAAAAGTTCCCAGCTCAGATTAATTTAATCTTAAGTTTGTAACCAGAAAAGTGTATAAAAGTCAACCAATCAGAGAGAGGTATCAGAAGCCGGAAAATTTAAAATTTTGCACGCCATTTAATTAAAGAACTAATTAAGAATTGTCTAATAAAATTAAACGAAAAAAGTAGAATTCATTGCAAACTTTAAATTTGTTCTTAAACTTGAAGAAATAAGAAGGACGTGGATCCGGATCCAGTTTTTCATGCGGATCCAGATCCGGATCCGCATTAAAATTAGATGGATCCTAAGCACTGGTTCTAACCATTATGTGAACTGTTATATGCTCACCTATCATCTCCAAACAAAATGTTTTTCTTTTCGGCATATTCAAGAGCCTAAAAATAAAAAATCTTTAATTAATTATTATTTACACTTCTTAAATGCCAATCATATCATATCATATATATATATATCATGAAGCTAGGGAGGTGTCCAAAAGTTAGTTGACCTATAAGGGGTATGCCATCATAATCCCTTCTAGGTGAAGTCTTTTCATTTAAGCCTAAAGTTTGTGCCTATGCACTTGAATTGTACTGGGTGTCCCAATTAACATGGAAATTAAGTGACGAATTTGATATCGTCTTTGAACATAATTTCTGTACTTTTTTGTAGATGGTTTGTCTGCTAAAGTTCAGAATTTGATTGTTTACATTTTGATTACAAACTATTGTGAATGAGAAATTTTGCAGGAGAACGCGGTTTTTTACTGTTTACATAAATATAATCTAGCAGACGGAACTTGATTTTGACCATGGAAAATAGATATTGCAACGCTTATTCTTAACAAAGACGATTTCGTTTTCGTCACACAATATCCATGTTTATTGGGACACATTCTCAAGATCGTACGAAAACATTATGAAAATAAATTTATTTGCTCGTTAAAAATGTTCAGAACCTAATCAAACAACTGAAGTTTTTGACATTTTTATCTAAAATTGGAGATATATCATATTTAAAGTAGTAGATAATTTTTACCAATGTTGGTCCTCTTTTACCTGGATCAGAATTTCGTTTTTGGTTAAAGAATCAATTCTTCGATCATTATATTTCAGCTTCAGGAAGTTTTTCTTTAAAAAAAAATAAACTATAAAACATCATTAATATCAACATAAAGGAGAAGAAATGATTATATATATATTGATTGTATTTAAACCTCTTCCCTCCCCCCGCTGTCACCCCTCCTGTGTGGAAAAATGCTTTATTTCTTAGTTTCCATCAAAATACAAGTATTTCATTCTTTATTTCTTAAAAAAGGACAAATAGTTGCAAGGAAATTTTTTTTTTAAATCAAATTCCCGAATATGTCAGAACCTACTGGGCTAAGCGGTACATTTTTCTTTTTTACATATCATGATCTGAGTTCGTTTACTTTATACCATCTGACTTCCCCTTTTTCTAAAAGAAAACTTTTTTTTGGTTGTTTATTTTGTTGTGGTTTTTCAACATTTTTTTAATGATTTTAATGGACGAGGGTCAACCCGTATTTTTAATCAAATGCGGAACTAACATCTTCATTATTAAAGGGACCGTTCACTTATTTGGGTAATTTCAGGGTAAACTAAACAGCCTATTCGCAGTTGATTAGTCTTACTTTTCAAAGACAACTGTGGCCGGAGAAAAAGCCGATTTTTCGTTCAGAATTCGAGCGCAAAGGGACGGTCCCTCTCTATAGACACTAATTGATGTTTTTTTCAGTATGTTGTGAATCAAAATAAATCTCGAATATAAAATTAAACTGAAGTATCTAATCGTTAATTGTAAATGTCATTATTTCTTATTTTTTTTTGTTTTTTAACTTTCTATTTCTAAAATAACACTATTTTATTGCATTCAAAATTGTGTATTGCCTGTGAAAAAAGCTGAATTGAACGCGGCATGACAAATGAAAAGTTGTGCACATACGGGAAAAAATCTACAAAATCAACGAACCAAAATACGAGTAATGATTAAATGATTGTCGTAGAGACGTCGTCTTTGTAAACACATTTTACATGTTTTAATACGAAAAACGTAAATTTCTTGCTCACTCAAATATCAAAAGTTTTCAGATTTTAGTACATAATAACGAACACATAATGACATTACAATATAATAAATTTAAATGTTATTGGGCTGCTGTTACTGAAAAAAAACATCAAATAGTGTCTATAGAGAGGGACCGTCCCTTTCCGCTCAAATTCTGAACGATAAATCGGCTTTTTCTCCGGCCACAGTTGTCTTTGAAAAGTAAGACTATTACCAATCAAGAGCGAATAGGCTGTTTAGTTTACCCTGAAATTACCCAAATAAGTGAACGGTCCCTTTAACTCTATGAGGTTTGGTCACCATCAACACCAAATTTTAAAAGGTTGCAAGTTGTTTAAAATTTTCTTTAATGATAAAAAAATAATAATTACCTGATGTTTATGCTTTCTGAATACAGTTCACACGACATTATACAGTTGTTAAAAAGTGTTTATAAAAATATCTCCAAATATTAAAAAGATTTATTAACTCACGTATTCTTTAAACTATCAACCCCAATTACAAAAAATCATTCTAAATGGTATTTCAAGCGACCGTCCATTTATACAGGGACATGCCAGATTCATAATGGTAAACTTTGAACCTTTAATCAACCAACCCTGTATTCTGTATTCTGCAGTTAACCCTGTATTCTGTATTCTGCAGTTAACCCTGTATTCTGTATTCTGCAGTTAACCCTGTATTCTGTATTCTGCAGTTAACCCTGTATTCTGTATTCTGCAGTTAACCCTGTATTCTGCAGTTAACCCTGTATTCTGCAGTTAACCCTGTATTCTGCAGTTAATCCTGTATTCTGCAGTTAACCCTGTATTCTGTATTCTGCAGTTAACCCTGTATTCTGTATTCTGCAGTTAACCCTGTATTCTGTATTCTGCAGTTAACCCTGTATTCTGTATTCTGCAGTTAACCCTGTATTCTGTATTCTGCAATTAACCCTGTATTCTGTATTCTGCAGTTAACCCTGTATTCTGTATTCAGCAGTTAACCATGAATTCTCATTTAAAAATTGGTTTTTTAACAACGATTCAACATTAAAAGTGCCTTGTGGAATTATGCAGTAAGTTGTAAATCGGACATGCAACAGTAAAGCAAAGGGGTCCCGTAAAATCTGAATATATTGTAGTGTGAACTCCTACTTGACATGGTTGAACATATCATCACTATTCCCCCAGGCAGATTTACATCCTTCCTGGGAGCAGGTATACCAGGGGTGTGCAGTTCTACAATCAATCAATCAATTCCTGGGAGCAGGTATACTAGGGGTGTGCAGTTCTACAATCAATCAATCAATCAATTCCTGGGAGAAGGTATACCAGGGGTGTGCAGTTCTACAACCCATCAATCAATCAATTCCTGGGAGCAGGTACACCAGGGGTAGGCAGTTCTACAATCAATCAATTCCTGGGAGCAGGTATACCAGGAGTGTGCAGTTCTACAATCAATCAATCAATCAATTCCTGGGAGCAGGTATACCAGGGGTTTGCAGTTCTACAATCAATCAATCAATTCCTGGGAGCAGGTATACCAGGAGTGAGGAGTTCTACAATCAATCAATCAATCAATTCCTCAGAGCAGATATACCAGGGAAATGATTGTAGTTCTACAATCATTCAATCGATTCCTGGGATCGAGCAGGTATACCAGGGGTGTGCACTTCTACAATCAATCAATTCCTGGGAGCAGGAATACCAGGGGTGTACAGTTCTACAATCAATCAATTCCTGGGAGCAAGAATACCAGGGGTGTGCAGTTCTACAATCAGTCCATAAAATCAACCATCAATCGATCAGTTTAATTATCAATGTTTACCAGCTTATTTGATTTTTTAGTTGGTTTAATCCTGTTCCTTTATCAAATTATTCAACAACTCATTAGTTGCTTAATTTATTAGTTCATTGTTCCTATTAGCTAATTCATCAGAAACGTTATAATCGTAAAAATCCATTGAAAATCAATAAAATTACTACAAGCAAACTCCTTTTGGGCGATATTCAGCGTTTCAAGGCGTCGCATCTTTTAAAATTAATTTCAACATGTTTTGAAAAAAAAAATAAAAAAATAGACCTTTTCCTCTGATCTACCAAAGATGTAATGCAAAGAAAGTTATTTCAAAAGTGTACGCATCTTTTGTACTGCAGTGTACTGTCTCTGGGCGGTAATGTAAACACAACACGGATGTTACAGCCTGACATGGGATCCATCTTTCACATTAAAAAATCAATGAAATATTCTGGTCATAGAAAACTATTATGCAAATGTGAATTATCAAAATTATCAAATTTAATGCTTTTCACCTTCTCGGATACTAAACGAACACTGATGCATCTATTCTTGTTTACAAATTCCGCCCAAAGAGAACTGGTTTCAATATGTACGCAGAGTATACACGAACGCAATTAACTTTCCTTGCATTACAACCTTGTGATCTACATTTTATTAATTCGTTATTTACTGATATTTTAGATTTTTTCAATTTTTTCTTTAATAAATGTTGCTTCTATAAAGGCTTCGACATTTTTGATGAAATAGTTTCACCCTTATTAAAACTCATTTATTTTCCCCATTTCAGCGTATAAACCCCCCAAACTTTTTTTAAGCAAACATACCTATTTACTGGGGGGAGAAAAATATCCAAAAGGGGGAAACAATTTTTGAAGAAATACCCCACGGTGTACCTGTCTCTCGGATTTCTTATCTCAGTTATATTGCTCAGTCCAAGAACTGGATCGTCAATCTCTCGGAGACGAGTCTGAAAAATGTTGCTAAACTTTTTCCGTGTCCCAAAAAACGCTCTTTTAAACCTTGTTGCTCTCACCATGATTTAATTTAAAATATCTGCGGAACATTTCATTATTTGATATTGACTAGAGTAACCAGAGGTATGTAATGTTCTAATGAACCATGAAGATTCATCAGCATTATTATATCCATTTGCATTTGTACAGTACATACATTTTAACCTTGATATCTAATGTGGGAACTTATCTCTCAATTTAAGTTATTTTTGCGTGGTATATCTAAGAGTTGGAGATAAAAATGAATGAAAACAATACAACAATAATGGTTCTAAAGTCAGGCTATTATTGGTATTAACAGTATTTCTCACATATTTGTATAGATTGATTACCTCTAGGGATATACAGACATCAACCCGTTCTTTGGGAGGTTTCTGCTTCTTCCTCCTGCAATATTAAACTATAAGTGCAGGCAGTGCTTGCATCCGGATTCGTGGCTTCCTGGATCCGGAAAAAAATTGAGATATCACGGAATTGGATTCCAGGAGCAAAATTATTATATTATATTATAAAGATTTATTCACACACAAAGATATAAATACATATATAAATGGTGTAGTTTAAATATGTTTAAATAATTTTTTTTTGAAAATACAGGTTTCCAAAAGAAAAGAGAAAAAATAGGCAAAATTATGCACAAATAGAAAACATTGATTTTTACTCACTACATAACATATTTATCATTTCAGTTATTATGTAATCATCGAATCCTTCAACATATAAATTATTCATTCTTGTATTCAAAAGTTCTTGTAAAACCTGAACTTTCCATTCAAATATTTCATTTGTTTCTTAACTAACATTTTACTAAGATCCGAAGGATTTACAGGACAATCATTTGCAATAGAAAATAAATTTCTGCCAAGAACTGTGTTGAGGTCATTTTTACATAAATTAGAAAGACATCTAATGCAAAGCTTAAAACTTGCTTCAATAGTCTCATAGAAAGACACACATCTGCTAGCTAACATAGTTTTTACATGTAAACATTGTGAAATACTTTCAATCAAGTACCTATGCGTATCTCTAGGTACATTAAAAAGAATTCTAATAGCAGTATTCCATGCTGTAAACAATTTTGAAACACATTGGGAATGGGAGCTCAAGTCCGAAATACTAGATCCATAAAAACTACAACAATAAATATTATACAGTTTCAAAATAACATCAGGACTGTTAAAATAAAATTCTTGGTTAAGGGAATGAATTTTTTAAATGAAATATCAACCAAAACCTGCTAAAAAAATTGCTCTCAACACAGGTGAAACATATGAAACCTCTTACTGACCTCTGATTGTTCCGTCAAGTTTTAGCAGAAAATGAAGCAAAAAAAGCGGAAAATTTCTATTTGTTAAAAACCAGTGTTCAAGAATCCGTAGCCATTTAAATTGATCCTCAGAACTAATGTCTAGGACTTCACTAATTGTCAGATTTACTGGACTAAGCTACTATAAAGTAATTTAGCAGGATACTATTAGTGACCGATTTTATGTATTTTTTTAATTGCGCACATGAGCTTTTTAAATGAAGTGATCTTGTTTTCTTAAGGAATAAGTGGTAACATTATTATGTTATTCACAAAGGCACAGCCCCTCCCCTCCCCTGGATCAGTCAAATTTATGGTTCCAGGCGGTTTTCGAGCCCCAACTGGTGCTGAGTCCAAATTCTGTGTACGCTTCTGAGAAGCAAGTCCAGTGGAGAAAATAAATGTTTTACACAACCTATCCGTGTTAATTATAACTAGCTTACTGAGGAGCATTCTGTGGTTCAGTTTTCAGTCCTAGAACAGATCTTTTCTTCTCCAGAGCTTTCCGGATATGCTTCTGTCCAATACAATGCGCTCTGGAAATAACAACATGGATTCATTTTCTTCTACAGGGTACTTTTAACTGAAACCCGGAACCGATTCCGGGACCTTATAGCTCCTAGGATATAAGTATGCGGACTGGGGAGCTTAAATACAAAAGCTGAATTAGGATCCGGATCCGTACCAAAATGCTAGAATAATGAATCAAAAAATGTATACATTATGGGGGGAATGCCTTTTTAAATGGGAGGTGTTGATCTTTTAAAGTTTTTTACCAGAATATATATTTAAGAAAAAAAAACTTTAGCTATGGAGGGAAGGGGGATTTCACGAAAATACAGGGTGACCCATTAAAACAGGGACTAGCGTTTTAAAGATCCAATAATCTTTTGAAATTACTCGAAAAAGTGCTCTAGTATATGGTTTTTAAGTTTAGAAGGGGTCGCTCAAGTAACGTTTTGGCGTTAGATGCCCGTGTTAGGCGCAAAACTGTGTCTAATTTTAAAAACTTATCTGTTAACTTTAAACAATTGATAATTTAAATTTTTTTATTCAAATCTATAATGCAGAGAGATAACAACTTAACAATGCTTACAAATCATAATAATGAATACTTATTTTGGTTACTATAATGTTTATATTTCATACTACTTCCTGAAGAGGCCCCGATTTGATGCCATGCAAAAAAAATCACCTATTTCTTTTTCCCGGGGTTTATTGACCCCTTCTAAACATAAAACTATTTAAGTATGTGTACGTCCGGAGGGTGTGGGAATCTTTTTTTCTTAAGAAAAAAAACTGTTGATATTAAGCTGTTGAGAGGATCGGGTCGAACATGTGGTTTATTTGACATTATTGACATTATTGACATTTGCTCAGCTCATGCGATACCTGATATTAGATATCATTTAAACCTAACACCGAGTGAAAGATTGAGGTTTAGTGTAGATAACTGGATGTAGACAGAGGCGTTCCCATCTTACCCCCCTCCCCCCTGATCAGTAAAATTATTGGTTTTCAGGCTCTATGGACGCGGACTCCCTTGTAAGTCCCCACCGTGGAAAGAAAAAATTTAACCCCCTGGACAAATTTCTGATCACGCCCCTGGATGTAGATTGTAGAACTACCTGATATCCCTCTTCTCTATTCTTTACACAGAATTTCTCGTCAATATATTTGTTCTCCTCCTAAATAAAAACAAATTGTTTAGAAAATTGTGAAATATCAAATAAAAAAAATAAAAATTTTAGAAAAACAAGGGATCATTAGGTCGGATATTAGGAGAAGTGGTAAAACGGGTGCTCAGGATACATTTCATTTTGGTGCGGATCCTGAAAAATGGATCCTGATCCAGGTTATAAACATTTATTTAAGGTTTACTGATTTTTTAATAAAAGTTTTAAATACTTAAGCCTTCGAATTTTTCAAGGGTGGTAGGCGATTACATCAATATAATGAAGACTAATTTTGATTTATATCAAGGTTTTAAATAGCATGGGTACACAATCATGGAAACAAAGAGAAGTCGTCAATTAAAAATGCTTCTCATAAATTACTTGTAATCCGAAAAAAGCTTGCTAACATTCAAAACGTAAATAGAAAACACGTCTTCATTAAATTGATATAATCGCTTACCACAGTATCAAACCTGAAATATAAACATGTCCTGGCTTTCATATTCATCCGAATCGTCGTAAACTCGCCTATAAAACAAAATAAAATAGTAGTGTGATATAATTATTTACAACTATACTTTACAGGAAAGTAAGGGAACTGCGCTCTGCATGTTTTGTATTGGTCTTGGAAACCCCTGGTAAAGTATAATATTTAATTTCACGAAAAAGAAGTTGTATACAATTTTATCGTCTTTGCAGATGCAACTACACACATTTTTTCACGAAAAATTTGCATAGCTGGTGGTTATTTTACTTTTAAAAGACGTTAAGAAACTTAACGTACCTCTTTTAAGGGAATCACAGTTCTGTAAGGTTGGTCGAAAGGCGGTAAAGTAAGTTTTTCATTCTTAATCAATGCTGTTATGCCATTACGAGGTATTAGAAAAAGAGGGGGGGGGGTCAATTTGACACCAAATTGTGAAATGGTAAAAATCCTGCGCTTGTTGTCACAAAGTGTAGAATCCCTCCCCCCCTTGGACACCAATTTTTTAAATCAAAAGTAAGAAAGGATATTTTTATATTTTGAACTGCGTCGCAGAACCGCCATTACTGGTTCCAATTGAGTGCCGACTCAGATCTCAGAACCATGTTTGAACCGCGGTTCAAATTCTTTAAATTCGGCCTGAGATAAAGTTAAGAACTGAATACCTCCACTCCATGATACCCTCCATTTCAACATAAATCCCGTTTTCAGGGTCAACCTTCATATCATTGTCATCCCGCCTTAACGCCATTTTAGATGTTATGAACCACGCCTGCAGATAATTATAAAAGTTCTGAAAAATAATTCAAAATTAAAAAAGTTCATAACAGACTTATTACACATTTAATGATAAAGCAGTGATTTGAGATTTCCTAGAGAATGATTTTTGGACCTCCCGTCCCCCTACATCTAAAAATGTAAATAAATTTTAAATTTAATAATTTGGAGGGTTTTATAGGGTCAAAGTTGGACATAGGGCCGCAGCGCGGAACCCCTACCCTAAAAATTGACGGAAAATTCAAAAATAAAATGCATAGCAGGTTTTTGTACATTTAAAGACCTACTGAAAGAGGAGGAAATTTGATAATTAGATGATCGACCCCATATACCTCCGGTACCGTCACACATCATATTGGATTGTTAATTTGCGATTTTTGGGACTAAATGACAAAATTGAAAAGGATGAATCATTTAAAAAGAAAATTGTACAAGGCCAATGAAAAAATCTGCTTGCAGAAAATACCAGGTTTTTTGAGTAACACATATAGTGCGTAATTTGGCGTTAAAGCTTGCATATCCAGTATGATATGGGACGCTCAGTATACCGGAGACACTGTATATGATTAAAAGACGTTCGGGACCGGACACCCTGTAAATAATTAGAAGACGCTCAGGACCGGACACACTGTATATAATTAAAAGATAAGGACCTGTAGTTATATAGTTAAGTCTCAAATTTTATATATTCCCAAGCAAGTAGAGTATATACCGAAACGCCATTTGCTAACCCTGTGACTTCATGTTTAAAATATTTACGCTGTTTTTTTAATAAAAGTTTGGAGGAAAAAGTTAAGTCATTCACGGTCGAGTCAAAGCCTAAGATATGTATGTCAGCAAGGTAACATACAGAGAAGAACCCCTGCCAATAACAAGCAACTAAAGGTACGTAATTAATATTTGGCAGATCATCGACACTCGACTTACAAGGCGGCTACAAGCAACAGGCAATCTGAGACTGAATCTGAAAGAAAATGATTTTGTTTTGATACTGATTTCTCTGGATGAATGAAACGGATTCGGGATTGACGTAAATATTGTGAATTGAACGCGGCAAATAATCTTGAAATCGTCTTTGGTTAAACTGGTTTTACGCCTGGCAACATGTAAACAAAACTCAGCTGATCAAAACATGCCACACAAGTCAAATATAATTTTTAATTATTAAATTTAAGTTTGAAGAACAAATATGTCAGACTTGAGAAGAAGAAAGGTTTCCTCTGGATCAGATCAAGAGAGAAAAACTAAAACTTCTGAAGTTTATAAAGCTAAAAGTACTGTCGTAGTCTTAGAACTTAGTTCGGTCTTATGCATTGTTTTCGGAGTTCTCATAGGTAAATATATGAATATATTTTTTTAATATTAATTAAAGGGGCGTTGATGCTATTGATTAATATCTATCTCTCTTTCAATTAAAGCGTTTTCTCTTAAATAAACTTACATTAAATTCTCTTAAATTGACTCACATTAAATTACATATATACATTATACAATACATTTTATTTTTTACATGCAAGACTTTTCATGTCAAGAAATAATATAATCTGAGGGGAGTAGGTCATTATGGTTTTTACCCCCCTGGAATTCACCACTTCAATATTGTTCAGGTAGTTTACTGTGTGGTCCCTGGATCCATGATATAGTTGGTTACTGTCTGGGTTACAGATGGGATTTTGTAAATAAATGTATAATGGAGTCTCCTAATGAAAACGGTTATGGTACAGATTTTTGCAGGTTTTATTAATTTATATTACAGGGGGTGTATATTTTGAAGAACTTTGGAGATTTAGAAAGTATTTGTATTCTTGTTCTTGGTCTATAAAGCTTAAATGGGCCGGGGTCTGGGTCCGTCCTAGAGAACAATTTTCGGACCAAGCCCCCCACCCCCTCCTCCTTTCAACTTTGTACCTGACTACTTATTTTTCAGCAAATTTATTATTATTCATTTTTTATTATTTAGGTTTAGGTTAGGTTAAAACACTTTCTGGGCCGAGCGGTGCGGCAAGGACATGCTAGGGGGCCGAGCGCTGCGGCCACGGGTTAGGTTAAGTTAAGACACTCTCTAGGCTGAGCGCTGCGGCTAGGATAGGCTAGGGGACCGAGCGCTGCGGCCACATGTCTTACATTTAAGGTCCTTTAACATTTAAGATCCATGTACAAAATTGTTTAGGAGGGGGGGGCGGGGGCCGGGGGGTCCAAAATCGTTCTCTAGGAAATTACCCGGGGTCTGAATGGAGAAAGAAAATAAAAATTTTATGCCCCGCATTGAAGGGGGGGGAGCTTCTTTTATGGTTTCTTGGTTTGGGGATAAATCCGTTGAATGTGCTTTAATGAAAGCAAAATACTTCATTTTAATTTGTATTAAACCTTCCTTCCTCAAGGACACTACTCCCTTAAATTTAATTTTATCACTTAGAAAAATTAAAAGGATAGAAAATATATATTTTTTTACAGGATTCCTGTAGATTGCGACATTTGTAAAGATGTTCACAAAATTGATGAAATACATGTCAGTGAATTATCTGTTCAACTCTTTGAAGAAAGGTATGCACATGCTTATTTTTCCTTAGAACTTTTACTTAAACGTGTTCATGTCTCAAAATTGATTTAGTAACCTTCTAATAAGCGTAAACTTGTTTGTTGGAATAATAAATTTTAAAAAAAATTTAGAATTAATTTTTAGTCAGGGGTGTATATTAGTTGTGAGACTCATATTTTTGCCCCGCCCCCCTTTCAGAATCATATTTTTGGATTTTAGTATTATAATGGAGCGTCTTGGTGCCCTAAAAAGGACAACTTGAAGGTCCCTCCTGAGTTTTTTTAAGTATTTCTAATACTGTTTCAAAAATTGTTTTTTTCCCCATCCCTCTTACACCTTTTCCCTTCCATTCCCCCTTTCCATCCCTTTTCCCCCTTTTCCCTTTCCTCTTCCCATTTTTCTCCTCCCTCTTCCTCTTTTCCCTTCCCTTTTCTCCTTTCCCTTCCCTTTCCCCTTCCCTTCCCCCTTTTTCTTTTTTCTTCATTTTTTTTCTTTTTTCTTCATTTTTTTTCCTCAACCTCTTATTTTTGGCAAATAGAAAAGTATACATCTTGCTTTTAGGTATGCATACAGTGATCGACCATTGGTTGTAAGAAATGCAACATTAGACTGGAAAGCAATGGATACTTTAAACTACTACTGGTTCAAAGAACAGTATTTAAGGTAACATTTTATGTATTTATATACCTTGCTTGTCTGGGTATCTGTTTGTTTGAAAGCGATACGTCAAAAAGTCTGAACCGATCGGGCCTAAATTTGTAAGGGACCTCACATGATCCCAGAGAAAGTTTATGGATAGTTAAAATTACAAAAACCACGAAAAAATCGTTAAAACAGCAATGATTTTAAGTTAAAATCGAAGATTGGCGCGAAGTGCCTTGGAACCTTGTTTAAAGTTGCGCTGTTGTTTCTCAGTATTCCTTTCTCAATGTGCGTCCTTAAAAACTAGTTTTATATAAAGTAAAAGTTGGATTTTCTCTAGTGATCCTGAAATACTATCTTATAAACATGAAGATTGCTGGTTCAATAAATATGGAACAAAGGAGTTTAGGAACCTTGCTTCTGTATTCAGGCGAGTTTTTTAAAACATAATTCGAGTAATACAGTGACACCTATAAAACTGTGGAATAGGAGACTGTTAAACTAAATTTATGACTTAAAACTCCAACTAACATGAATGCTAAAATTAACAACTTGATTTCAAGCTGCTGGTAAGAACCATCTGCATAAAAATATCAGTTTCCCAAAAGATTTCTAAAATGTCTAGATCATAGTCCACAATTTTATGGGTACCATTTAGTAAGCAGATTTCAACCTTGATTTATATGGTGTAGTTTACTTGCCTGAAATATCTCCATTTATTGGCATCATGGTAAACAATTAAGGATGTATGCGCTCTTTGATCCTTCTAAGCTTAAGTATCTGCTTGAATGCCGTGGCAATCATTATTGTGGCAAGTCCTTCTTTATTCATCTCTTTAGGTTCTTCAATAAAGTTAACAGAAAGGCTTAAAGGCATACGTAATTTTCTGTTCTGGTCTAATTTTTAAGGAAAAGTTGTTTAGTCTGGCTCCTCAGTTTTCAACTAAAGACTGTATATTTTTAACTTTAGAATATACTGAGAAAAAATGAACTGGAGAATTCAAGGAACTTTACGTTAAAAATTAGACTAGAACTGAAAATTGCGAATTTATTTATTACAATTTTGTGAACTTTCTGTGTTTCTGTAATTCAATCTTTACAAAATTTTACAACTTGAGAGAATTCTATATATACAATATACACATTTTAGCTTTTCTAAACTTTTGTTTGAGAGAACAAAAGTTTCGCGGGGTTTTTTTTGGGACATGTGAGTAACAAAAAACAAAATTTCCAAAAAATATTGAAAAATTACCATACAGGAGAGTTGCACAAAAAAGGTATAATTTTGCACCAGACAAATCACACTTTTTTTTGACTCACTCTGTAAATATTTACATTTGTATTGCATTGGCATAATGGCATTTCTCCCTCTTGGTAAACAACATTTTTCCACGCGTTGTAACTGTTAAAGGCTACTCAAGGGGTTTCATTACTGAATATGGGAAAAATAATAATTTTTTAAAGTGTGTCAAGATCTCTTTAGACCAGGAAGAAATGTTTCCTTATTCACTTCAAGTAGAGCAAAATTTGAAACAAGAAAATATTAATCTTGACAAGGTTTAAAAAAATAAATATTTAAGGTTGAATGAGGATAGAATAAAACTGAAGGATAATAAACCCTGGTATGTTGGTTGGGCAGTGTGTCACACTGATGTAGCAAATAATCTTTATAGTTTGTACTCCAGACCTTCATTCATCAATCCAGATTCTACTCCCCCTTCCAAACCTTGGATATTCATTGGTAAATATACTCCCCCATCCAAACCATGGATATTCATTGGTAAATATACTCCCCCATCCCAACCATTGATATTCATTGGTAAATATACTCCCCCATCCAAACTATGGATATTCATTGGTAAATATACTCCCCCATCCAAACCATGGATACTAATTGGTAAATATACTCCCCCATCCAAACCTTGGATATTCATTGGTAAATATACTCCCCCATCCAAACCATGGATATTCATTGGTAAATATACTCCCCCATCCAAACCATGGATATTCATTGGTAAATATACTCCCCCATCCAAACCATGGATATTCATTGGTAAATATACTCCCTCATCCAAATCATGGATATTCATTGGTAAATATACTCCCCATCCAAACCATGGATATTCATAGGTAAATAGTAAATAATAAATACACTCCCTCATCCAAAAAATTTTCAATTCATTTTATTAATTAAAAAAAAAAAAATTTTAAGGATCCCCTGGACATGGGGCGAATATTCATATTGACAATGTAGATCTTTCATCATGGCAAGCTCAGGTGTGATATGAAAAATAAACATTATAAATTTGAAAATATCAAATTAAACATATTATCGTTATTTGTATCATCCCGGAATAACGTCATATTTTGGAAAATAAATTAGCAGAAATCTGAAAACTATGAAGCAGAGTTTGTTTGTCTACATTATTAGTTAACGAGTTTACAAAATTTTGATATTTTTTTTAACCCAAAGATTTATGTACGTACCTTTTAAACATATGTTTTTCGGAATTACCTGAAATCTGAAATATTTACTCATTGGAAAGGTTTTCTTGATAAGATTAAGCAACAGACATAAAAAACAGGTCATATGAAAAATTCCAAAACTCCCAATCTTAAAACAAGACACTTTTTATTTTTGTTGCCTAACTTTTTTGATTTAAGACTTTTTAACCTCTAATCTTAAGTAATGTTATTTAATTCCTAATAATTCATAATTTCAGATTTTGTAATTTCTAGATAACTGGGATTAAAAAGTGGTTTATACAGCCTCCCCCAGAGTGCTCAAGAAAGTGTGGAAATACTATGGAGATTACAGTTTATCCAGGTATTGATTATAGTCCTAAAATGTACTTATCCTGGTATTGACTATAGTCCTAATCTGCACTTATCCAGGTATTGATAATAGTCCTAAACTGTACTTATACAGGTATTGATTATAGTACTGAACTGCACTTATCCAGGTATTGATTGATCATAACTGTACTTATCTAGGTATTGACTATAGTACTGAACTGTACTTATCCAGGTATTGATTATAGTACTGTAGTAGTGTACTGTACTTATACAGGTATTGATTATGGTACTGAACTATACTTATCCAGGTATTTATTGCAGCATATTACTGTACTTATCGTCGTATTTATTGGAGTACTGTACTGTACTTACAGTGATAACCAGAAAACTCTGGAAAAGGAAGAGGACTTTTAGAATCAAATTTTAACTTTAAAAAGTCCAACGAGCATGAGCCACAGTAATTGTGCAGTGTAAACAACCCATTTCAGTAAACTTGTGATAGATTAATCGTCTAGTAAAAATAGTTGTTTTGCAACATTCTCAAATACACTAAATTATTGTTCTAAAGTCGTCTTCCTATAACATTGTTTTCTGGTTATCACTGTATCCAGGTATTTATTGAAGTACAGTACTTGTTGCTATCCAGGTCATATATTAAGTAAAGAGTTTGATTTACTCATTACCACTACAAATAAAAGGTTTCATAACTGAATTTCCATGTTTATTGGGACATCTTCTATCGATATATATATAGTAGTTAACTCTGTTTCTTTTTGGGATGTCCGATCATAACTCATAAACCCCTTAACCGATTTTTTTATAGTTGTTTGAGGAACTCACCATAGAAATGTTCTTACTTTCGTTTAAAAATTCGACTCCTTCATGGAAAATTCAGATGTTCAGGCAAAGCTTCCAAGCTAGTTTATGATAAAATAAATAAACTACCTAGAAAACACAGCATTGCATGAAAATAAACTTTTCCTATAAACGTCAAAGCTTATTCAATTTAGAATCTCAAATCAAACTAAGAACATTCCCGTAGTTTTGCCGAATTCACTGATCAAGATTGAGTTAGGGGTTCATGAGATATGGTCGGATTTACAAACAGACAAACAGAGATTACAACTTTATGTTAGTTATAATTTTAGGAGACATTATAGTGCTAAATACAAATGTATGGTTCCACGGCACTCTGGTTCTAGGATCTCAGCTTAGTCTGGTTCTAACTAATGAATACGATTAACTCAGTTTAGTCTGGTTCTAACTAATGAATCCGATTAAACAGAGTATAGTTTGAAAACTGCATATCAGAATCTAGTCATTTATAATTCGAAATTGTATCTATCATTACCGTCCTTTCGACTTATGTGATCTGTGAAAAGTTGCTACATAATACATTTTTCCCATGTTAGAAAATACAACGAAATAATTTTTGTTTTCAACTTTGTATTTTTCAACACAAAGTTGAACTTAAAAACCAATGATAAAACATTTAAAAATATTAAATTTAATAAATAAATGGTTAAAGTTCTAGAATATACTACAGTGATAACCAGAAAACTGTGAAATAGGAAGACGACTTTTAAACTCAAGTAAGGACTTTAAACTAGTTCAATGAACATTAGACATAGCAATTGTACAGTGTAAATAGACATGCATTTCACTTGAATAGTGCTTTACTATGTTACTAAAGTAAAACTAGTTTTTCTTGTACAAACATCTAAACGGTTAAGTATTGCTATATTGTCGTCTTTATATTCCATTGTTTTCTGCTTATTACTGTATTCAGGGGGAAAACTGAAGAGAAAAAAATCCTCTCAAATGTCATTTTCAAATATCAAAGTGTGACACATGTTTCTACGTCTATTTTTCAAGTGCTTTTCAAAAAATATTTAGCTCTGCAGCTTTAGTCACAAAATGTTTGGAATATTTTAGATTTTTTTATACAAAACGGACTTTTTAACGCCTGTACCCAACCCAAGGCATTAAAAAAAATTACAAAAAAATCTTAAAATTTCTATTTATTAAAAGTAACAAAAATTTCACGGTGATAGTGTAAAAAATATAAGTGCTAAAACAAAAAAAAACTAAGAGGATGGGCGTCGAACACCCCTACCCCCCCCCCCGCAGCCTGTTTAGGGTTAAGCTTGCCCTTATGGTTCTTTAGGGCATTTTTTCTTTCAGTACTTATTTATATCAAATATTAGTATTTTGATTTGCTTTTAAATGTAGATTTTATATTATATCTTCATAAAATTAGTTCAGAACATTCTTCAGCATTATCATATATTTATGTATTTTATATTTATAAAATTCATTATTGCATAAAGTTTTGGTTTTGAAACTTTATATTCTTAGAATTTGTTTTAACTTTAAAGTTTCCATGTTGGTTGATGAGGGTTTGAATCTTGATTTTTTAGCTTTCTACAATATTTACTATAATATATTTGCTTTTTTGTGTTTATTAACTCTAGAAATGGGTGATTAAATAATTTGATAAATTGTTATAAAGAGTTTACTTAAGAACAATATAAATTAAAGGAAAAAATTTTTGGGTCATAATTACTACAGACGTTGTGAACCCCCCCCCCCCCCCCCCCCTATATTTCTTAACACTCTCGCCTGATTATACAAAAGTGATAACCATAAAACTTTGGAATAGAAAGACGACTTTTGACTTAAATAAGCACGGGAAACAAAAATTGTTCAGTTTAAACAGACCCATTTCTCTTGATTTGTAATTTAATAAGTGTTAAGTAAAACTATTTGCTTTCTAACAACATCAAAAAGTATTGCTACAAAGTCGTCTTCCTATTCAGAGTTTACTGCTTATGACTGTAATACAGATAAGATTAAGACAGATAGATATTCATGCGAGGTTGTAAATAAATATGATGGGGGGGGGAGGTTCAACCCCCCTACACTCAAGGGGTTTGCTTTCACAATAACCCTGAGGCAGAGGCCCAAAGGATTTACGTGCATGATCTCTCTTTGTCTTGTAATTAAACGCTGCCTGCGCGAAACTCCTTTGGGTTTTTGTGAACGAAAAAAAAACCTACACTTTTTTTCTTTCACAATAACCCTGAGGCAGAGGCCCAAAGGAGTTGTGCGCATGATCTCTAGCTTTCTGTCTTGTAATTCAACGCTGACTGCGCGGAACTCTTATGGGTTTCTACCTCAGGGTTTTTGTGAACGAAACACCCTTAAATCTTGTCTTTCATCCTAATTATTTGTTTTTATAAATTGAAGATTTTTTAATACACATATTAGCGCCGGAATACAAAACAAAATCTTATTTTTATTTGAAATATTTATTTAAATAACTAAGAAATGCAAGTTGATCTTATCACTTTAATATTCAAAGCACTTTTTATTAAAAGATGAAAGAATAGCTTGGAAACCCAGCTTTTACTGGAAATAAAAATTTCGCTATGAAAGTCGAGCCAATCTATTCAGAACTTTTAAATCAAGCTAATAACATTCCCGTGGTTCTACCAAGTTCTTCATTTGAGGCAAATTGGTCATTGGGTTTCTGAGTTATGAATACATGATCTAACATGAGACGACAACTTGACATTAATAGAAGAAAAAGATTCTAAAAAGTTAGCTTCTGCTTTTCTTATTCCCAGATCAACCTCGCTAGAGATGAAATCTATTAAAAGCTATTGAATAAGCTTGCTTATTACAAGATATAGCTAGGATAGTCATTCGTTTTTTAAAACGATACTTAATGATTTTCTTCTTAAAATGATGGGTCACAAGTCACAACGAAAGAACTATTCGTTTTGAACTTTTAAAAAACGAGACAACGATACGATCGTTTTCTTGGAAAAACTATCGTGATTTTTTATTTTCGCTAAATATGAGTTTTTTGACATCTTCAATGTTTTTTCCTATCGAAGGAAATGACCTAAATGTTTTTCTGATCTAAGGGTTTTCCGACCAAAAATGTATTTAATTTTATTTTTATATTTTCGTTTTTCTGTCGTTAACAAAACAAAACAGAACGTTTTTCCCAAAAGTGGGCCTTTTTTATACTGCACAATTGCCTCGTATTTATTGGACTATTTAAAGATATGATTGAGTCTTGAGCCTGGTTATCACTGAGATAGATTAAGAGCCAAGGTTAATAAAATTCTTAACAGTCGTCTCTGAAGTCTTATTATTTGTTGCCGTGGATTACCGAATACATCTATCTATATATACAGGATGAGTCAAAAAAGGATAAATAACGAGATCTTGCAGTTTTTTTGGTAATATAAATTTTAACAAATATGTATGAAATTTAAAAAAATTTGATTGGCTATCTGATAGACCAGCTTTAAAAAATATCCGCGGAACTATTGTTTACTCAAAACTAAATGAGTAGAAAAAAAGTGCGGGAATATAGTCTTTCTATCGCACCTTAAAATCTTAACCCTATCAGATGAGTAGTTTCGGAAAAAATGTGCAAAATTAAATTCAGGAATCAACATATTTTGATAATACCATAGAGAATATAGAATATATAGAGAGGAATTTACTAGTAAAACGGCCATTTTGTTGTACTGTTTCCAATCCATACTGCTATATAACCTTTTGGGCCCTGGAACATCATTTTATGCAACATTTTTCTTGAAAATTATTTGATTTTCTTTAAGTCAATTCTCTGATAGCCTGTCATGCACACGTGGATAAAAATCAATCTAAAATTTTTTTTTTCATTAAAAAACATATTCCTATAATTGCAGCCTGCAGGTAATCAAAGAGGGAAAGCCAATATTTCAGAAATATTCAAGATATTAACATATGGTTCAACCTTTTTTCACCAAAATTGAGGATGGAGATAAACTTAATATTTTAAATGCATTTTACACAGTTGGACCCATAAAACTCTGGAAGAGAAGGTCAAAATTTAAATATGTTTCATGTTTGATGGGTTAGTTAAACTTGTAGCTTGAGTCTAAACACAGTTAAACAAACTGTTATGCTTTGTTTACCCATAAAGATCAACGACCATTTAATTCACAAAATTATGAAATAGGGTGGTTTCATAATTGACCAATGATCATTTCACATAGACTCTATTCCTTTCACTTTATGAACGATGATTTTCCGTTATAACTAAAAATCAAATGATGTTTTTTATTCACCTAATTCAAACTATAAAGTTTATTTAACAGCTTTAAAAAATTCGAAATTGAAATGAATAGTCTAGAGAACATACTGTATTAATGTACTCTACTGCATATAATTTGTGAACATTTTCATAATTTGTATACTTTGAACTCACTGTCAGGCTGAAAGGGACTGAAAAAATTCATACTGAGAGATTCTTTTAATTCCTCTCTATATATTCTATTCTCTATGGGTTTTTGTATGCGTATTTTTCTAAGATTATAATTTAGATATTTTACTCATTTAAAAAATTCACATTATAAAAAGAATTTAAAAAGAATAAAAATCATCAAAATGATTTTTTTCAAAAATAAAATTGCAGATTGTCTTCATTTAATTTCGCGCATTTTCCTTGAAACTACTAATCTGATAGATTTAAGATTTTAAGGTGTGATAAAAATAATATATTCCCGCACTTTTGTTTTTCTATAACTCATTTAGTTTTGAGTAAAAAATATTTTCACGGATTTTTTAAAGGGTTATCAGATGCCTATCAAAAAAATTATTTTCGAAATTTCAGACATATATTTGTTAAAAATGAGATTACCAAAAAAAACTGCTTTATTATATGAAAGATCTAGCTCCTCACCCTTTTTTTACTCACTCTGTATATATATATATACAGAGTGAGTCTTAAGAGTATATATATACGTTCATTTTTGAAAATCCACATAAATTAAGTTTTTCAACTAAAAAAATTCCTTCATTTTTTCCTGATGTTTTAAGTTTATTTTCATTTGTTTTTGCTTGATAGTTGTACGATTGAAATTAATTTAATAAACTAATAAATTTCAGACCTATGTCCCTGTTATGCAGTACATGATATGTACGCTACAGTACAATGTATTGTGTACGCTCTCTGATAGAATTAAAAGGTTTAAATTTTCACGTAATGATTCAATAACTTACTGTTCAGTTCAAAATATATTTTATACTGCGTGTGCCGAGTTTGATGTGACAATATTGACTTTATTTTTAACCAAAATAAAAATGAATGTTCTTTTCATCTTCATACAATTGTGAAGACAGGGAATCAAGGAAAGTGATAAATTGTGATTTTAAATGTTTTAACAAATGACATGACTCCAAATTTTCTGTTTGTTAATTTTTGCATATACGCCAGGTAAGATTAAGTTTGCTTTAGCTATATATTAAAATGCTTTTTAACCCTAAAGTAAGGTCGCCGTATCGTTATATACCTTTTTGTGTGTTTTGTGTCATTCTTTCGGAAATCAGCCAAAAGTAAAAAATTTAGTGAACCTCTCGGATTTTTGTGTGAAAA